TATATATACTGTATATATATATATTTATTTATAGATTACATTGTCTATTGTGTTTCTTTTTATCTTATCTTTTGTCTTATCTTTGTTACGCCTATTTCTCGATTTGATTTATTGTTTGTTTACCTCCACCTTTAAAAACCCCGATTATGGCAAATACATGGCAACACACAAGTAGTCTAACGTACACTACTTTTTTTTTTTTTTTTCTCTCTTACGAATTTTATTTTGATATCGGCCAAAAAAAAGACTCCCTCTTCACAATGCCAATTTCTTCGCAAGAATATATGTATCACGAAGGTCATATAGATGATAACGAAGTCGCTGTTAGTAGATATGAAGGGGAGGATAATGATGAAAATTACGAAGATGATTTATATGTTTCTCCATCAAATTTTGAATCCATCATCAAGGATCCATATCTTTTAGCCTTCTTCCGCGAACTATGTGAAAATAGAAGTTATGGTTCCCCCGTTTCTAGTTTTGAGAGAACTTGCTATTTTAACGGTGCAAATTCATTTGCGGTAAATATTTAATTTGCTTTATAAAATTTATTTTGTTGGTGGCGCAGAACTTCAAAATTTTGTTTCTCTTTTTTTTTTTTTTTTTAAAAAAAAAAAAAATTTATTATTTTTTTTTTAATATTAATATTTTTAATTCAATTTAAATTCTTAGATACCAAATCGCGGAGATTATATTCAGCCAGCTTCACAAAATATAGCTCATATCCTGGAGTTATGGTTGACAGAAAAATTATCAAATATTGGAGAAACAATTCCCATTTTGGAAGAATATCCTCAAATTTCCGCTGAAAGTATAATGACTAAACTAAAAGAGAGTAAGTTTTTCGCGTTTTTATTTCAGAATTTGTTAATACTAAGGTATTCCGCACGTGGTCCCTCATGTTTCAAAATTTTATTTAATTTTCCATAGAAATTCAAATTTTTTGTTTTTCTTTTTTTGCCTTTTTTTTTAAAAAAAGAAAAATTGATTTATATTTTTTTTATTATAATTTCCTTTAGCCGTTTCTTCATTAAACGGTCTGGAAAAAGTTCTTATAAATATCCGAGCTGGACATGTTTATTTATTACATATGATTGGCGATGTGGTTGTAATGGATCAAAATTGTGAACGGTTCTTTCAACAAGTAAGATATTATTAAATATAAGATATATATAATAAATATAGGATTTTGTATTACTACGATTATATTATGATTATTTGATACGAGAAAAAAAAAAAAAAAAAAAAGAATTACACTTTTGCAAACATAATGAGAATTATAATAATGATAATTTTTTGAAATACTTAAAAAAAAATTGATTTTTAAATTTTCTAGAAATGAAATTGAAATTTAGATATAAAATAGAGTCTTACTTATCCTTAACTTCTTATTTTTCTTATAGTTCCCGCTCTTTGTAAACGTATCTATTAAGGTACAAGAACACTCGCCATCAGTGCGCCACAACACGTGCCAAGTTCTAGTTGCTGTCGAACATGTGACCATGAAGGGAGAGAATCGTAATATTCCTTTATCATGTAGATTTTCTCATCAACAACATCAATCATTTGATGGTGCATTCACGAATACAAGAGTTGCTTCCTCACCTGATGGACAAACATTTTGTTTGTTGGAAGAATTGGCGACAAGATAGAGATACCTTTCCTGTGACGGTTAACGCTTTTGATATAGGAGTTTGTTAGCTAAAGTTTTTTAAAAAAAAAAAAAAACATTATATATCAAATTTCTTTTTTTTATATGTTTATTCATGATTCAAAATCCTTTTTTTTAAATCATCTTACGTGACGGGTTAACCATTCGCATAATCACTAATCATTTAAAAAAATTCGTGTTTTAGTATAAGCTTAGTGGAGTGGATTCTTATTAATTATTATTAATGTTATCGAGGGCCATCGTAAAAAAAAAGGTGACATCGGCGACACTTTTTTTNAAAAATTTACTACGAGCGGGTAGTTCATAAAATGGTGTTGTGATTAATTAAGGACTAAGAAAAAAAAAAAAACGATAAGGAGGGAAAAAAAAATTAAGATAAAAAAAAAAAATATATAATATAAAGAATCGAAACCACAAAAGAGGGGGGATTTAATGAAGGAGAAGAATATTTATCCTTTTGGTTTCAATACCTAAGATTCTTTGGGTTGGCGGACCCCATTTCTTTTTATGATCCTTTATTTATAGAAATAAGGTGGTGTTATTATTATTATTATTATTATTAATTCACTTATAAGATATATTTTGTGTGTGTGTATTAGTATATTATTTAATAGTTATGTATTTCTTATGCATTTAAGTAAAAAAAAGTAAAAGGACCCGGATTACCGGGGATAATAGTTAAGATTTTAAGATTTTGAACTCGATTTGGGGAAACAACAGATTTCGTACTATATTATATAAGGCACGTGTTGCGACACAAATTTGCATGTGATAAAAATGATAAAAAATGATTTTTTATATTACCCAAGTAAATTATATTACCCAAGTAAAAGTTTATTTGACATTATCGATATATCTACCGATATATCTCACAATCCTTGAGTGATAATAATATGGCTCCTAAAATATTTTTCACATGAAATGAAATTGATGATATTTAACGATAAGTATATCCAGTTGGTCACATGCTTAGATTTTCATATTACAGTAGTTCATAAATTGATAAACTTCACTTCAATGGTATTATTGAGAAAAAACACGAGAAATTTCAATATTTTGTTTTTAACGCGTTAATTTGAAACCATTCGATCATGTAGATTCATGTGGATTAAGTGACACGTAAAAAATCATTACCATTTTGAACTTCTTTGTAGATTTCTTCCTGCGATTGTTTTGATCCTTTTTATTATATAATTATATAACTGATAATTTAATCAAATTGTTAAAATCTAATATAAAAAAGTGTTTAAAAGGGTTAGTTAAATTTATTTTAAGTTATGTGCATGTCTAATGCAATCGGTTTTACATTAAATCTGAATTTGGATAAGTCTAATTTTTACTTGTTTACATTTTAACTTGTAAAAGATATCCAATTAGAATATAATCTAATTAATCTTCTGAATATGAATTTTTATTTATCAATTTTCTTGCTTTAACCAAACGATATTGTGCCATAACTCTTTTCCTTTCTTCAGCAATAATCCTTTTATTAGCAACATTTAAATGATTCATTTTCTGTCCTTTAGAATTATCTAAATTATCTTTCTACAAAATTGAAAAAATTAAAAGTGAACATTTAAAAAAATTTGATTTCATTTTTTTTAATAAATTAACTTACTTTTAAATGATTGATTTTATCACGTTTTTTTGGTATAACTGTTAATGAAGGGGGAGCTTGAACTACTTCACCAAATTTTATTTTATCTTTGAAATCATCAAAATCTTTAAAATTAACTTCTTCTATTAATTTTTTTATTTTTGCCTTTTTCTTCTCTTTTAATTTTTCTCGAAATCTATTAAACAGAAAGAAAATTATTATTAATTCGACATTAATTTTATAAAATAATGGATATTTATTATCATGTACCGTTTAGTTTTATCCTTTGCCGAAGTTCCTTCTTTCATTGCTTTAAGTATATCGGGTCTCATATGATCTTCTAACCTCCTATATTTGTAACATAAAAAATATTGCAATCAAATAATATAGAAATTAATTATAAAAATTTTAACAGTACCTACTAAAATCCAAAAATGATTCACCAGGTATTCTTTGTATAATCTAAATAAATTTTTATGACAATTTTTTAAACCAATAAGAAAGAAATATAAAATAAGATAAAAATAAAAATGAACATTAATATTTAAGAATTACCTGAGAATTATCTTTATTCATTTCGGAACTATTAACTTGTTTTTTCTTAAATTTATTAGCTAGTAATAATCTTTTAAAGTTTTTAGGAATATCGGATATTTTATCAGAAGTAGGTGGTGCATCATATCTTAAATAATACAAAATATTAATAAAAATATTAAAATATATTTAAACATAATCAAGAAATAAAATAAATACTTTGACTGTTCTGTTTCTATTCCTCGTTTTCTTTTCTTTTTATTAGGCATATTAAAGATCGAAAATGAAAATTTTTTTGATCATCAATGAATCGCATTTACATTTTTATCCAATCAAACGGCTGAGATTTTAATCTATTATCATCGGTAGGATTTGCTTGTAAATTATGGGCCATATTTTTATAATGTTCTCTTTATCTTTTAAAAAATTAAAATTTCCTCTAATACATTATTCTGCAGCATATGCAAAATTGACATCGAAATTTTCACTTTATTCTCTTCTTACAAAAAGAAATTTTCTTTTATTTAAAAATAATCAAAATTTATCACCTTCTATATCTTTACCGACCACATTCTTTCTTCAACGTCGTTACCGAGCGGAATTCGCTCCACGTCGTACAAAATATCGAAAGGCTCATAAAGGAAGAGTACCAGTACGGATAGGTGGTTCAACAAAAGGAAATACGATAGCGTTCGGTTCCTTTGGCTTGAGAGTAAAAGATGGTGTAAGATTATCTTCAGCTCAATTAACAGCTGCTCATACTGTTATTAAAAGAAAAATTAAAGTTATTAAAGGTAGTCAGGTTTGGATGCGTGTTTTTCCTGATATACCCGTTACTTCTAAAGGTAATGAAACTAGAATGGGTAAAGGAAAGGGTTCTTTTGAATATTATGCTTGTAGAGTTCCAATGAATAAAATTTTATTTGAAATTGGTGGTGGAAATATTAGAAAAGAAGTTGCTAAAGAAGCTTTAAGATTAGCTTCTGATAGATTACCTGTTAAAACTGAATTCGTGGATAAGGACGCTGAATTAAAACAATTAAAACAAGAACAGAAAAAAATTGAAAAGAAAATAGAAACTAATAAAATTATTCACATACAATAAAGTTTATTTAGAATATATGTATGTATGTATGTATGTATATTTTTTTTACAATATTTGCAAAATATTTTATTTGCAAAAGAAAAAAGAAAACAATTTTACAAAGTATTTCATCTATTAGCTTGTATATTTTTCATTAAACCCTTTTTTTAAGTCGATCGGTTTAATATACGTATATTGTAATTTAAATAGCTAAATAGCATTCATTTGTATATTCTACTATACGAATTTACGTACAGTTCTAAAAAAAAGAGCCTGTCGCTGGCTTACGATCTCGTAACTTAGCCTTAAAATTAAATTGTTCGAGTCAATAGTTATAGATATATATTAATATTTAAAAACTTTCCATTATTACCTCAAAAAATTCATTAACATCTTTAACGGTAACTGTCTTGCCTGATTCTCCGAATGGCTTTAAAAATTCAATAAGCTCATTCCTATAAACAAATTAAAATTATCAAAAGATTCGTAAAAATAAACAAAATTTATCCTATAATGCTTACTTGAATTGGTTATAAGCAAGTATCCCTATAAATTTATATGGTTAATAAATGAAAACAAAATTTCAGATACTATAGACCGCTTACCTTCGATTGCAGTGACTCGATCCATTTGGTTCAATGCTTTCATTCCGCAATCAAATAATGATTTTTCTAAATAAGTTATAAAGTAAATATACGCATAGTTATAAATTATTGTGATCCATAAACAACAACTTACGCGCGTCATCATCTTCTGGTGGTTCATAAGTCTCTTCTACACTGAGAATGAACTCAATTTGATGTTGTTTATAAAGTTCCATACACTAAATATGTGACCAAATTTATTATTATATATTATAACTTTTATAAAACACGTAATTTTTATTTTTGCTCTGTCTGTCATAAATACCTTGTGACAACGACACAATTCATCACGCCAGCCTCGTACACAAAATAGATCAATTTCTACTTCATTACTTACTATTTGCCAACTTTCACGCTTACACGTGTTAACATCATCATTCTTTGATTTTTTAAGTGAAACCACCGCGTTAACAACTTCTTTGCAATCATCAGCTTTATCATCTTCTTCAATCTTTCTTTTGTTATTTACAGGAGTTGAGAGTGAAATTGTGCTGGATGTCCCTTCGGTTTTAGTCGCGGCGATTTCATTATCCTTATTACTTGTTTGAGCGGTAAGAGGTAGTGACATTTTGTCACTTGATTTGGAATCTTTATTCTCATCACTTATCGCGTTAACTCGCTGATCTTTATTGTATTGGCCAGAGAAAAACATGTGCGAATTGAGATAAGGCTTTAAGAAAGAATATTTGTCAAGACACTTGTGACACAAATATTCTTCAAACGCCTCCAAATCAGGTAACTAAAATATAATAAGATTAATGTTAAAAAGCAATTTTTTCATCTTCGTGTAACGATTATGTAAGCGACATGAATCAAGTCTTATATAAATATAGTAAGTGGGCATAAATTTGTAGTTTTTTTATACCGAAAATCTTTTTCCTCCTTGCTTTTCTCCGCTTATACAATTTTCATGAAACCAATCTTCACATAATACACACTATAACAAAGAAATATTTTGTTATTATATTTAATATTAGGCTATCTTTAGAGCAAAAGAATTTGAAATTACCTGAAGCATATTATTGTCTTCCTTTTCCGGATCATAATCGACATTGCACCTTTCAAAAGATATAGATTAATAAAAAAAATTTAAAGGACAACCATGAAATTTTTTATTTTTATATAAGACACTAACCAACAGAATCTACCTTCATAATTATGATCATATTTATTATGCTCATTCACTGTGTTTCGTGATTTTGTTTCAAGCTTACAAGCTGCTTCTCCAAGACGAGTTGTTCCGCAATCGCACTTAAAGTTACGTTTCGAAAACAATTCAACAAGTTCATGATCTATATTGAAAAAGAGTATCGTCATTTACATATTTATTAATTATATTTAGAGGTTTTCTTACTTTACCTGAATGACATGAAATGGAACACGAATAACAAACACCACCTGGTCCATACCCCTCGCTTGGTTTGCAAGTTTTACAAGCGTAAACTGGCTGACGTATATATCCCTTATTATATGTACATTCGTCAAACCTTCCTGATAAAATTTCTCCCGCTTCCTCTTCTAAAAGTCTTTGTCTCTCTAAAATCTCTTTAACAGTTAACGTTTCTTTAGTTTCTTTTGTATTCATTGTAGTTATTTTCTTCTGAAGTTAAAATACTGTTAATACTGTTGTAAAACTGTAGTACTTATAATTGAAATGTGACAAATGACTAAAATTGGCTTGGTAAATATTTATCACATCATTAATTCAGTTATTTATCACATTATAAACAATGCACGTGATTTGATTTCTGGCGATTAAGCATATAAACAATTTAATATCTAAACAACTTATTTCTTGAAATAATTATTACAATTATGTATTATAATTTACTTACAGTTGTATATAAATTATTGTATTTGTCAAAAAAAAAGGAAATAACCTCTTATTTTAAATTAAAAAAAAAACTAAAACTATATTTATTGAAATTCATCTATATTATTATTACAATCCAAGTGTCTTTCTAACGGAATCTCTGACAATCCTATTAAATTCTTCACGATCACTTCTCCAAATTTTCTATAAACAAATGCATTAAATAATTAATTAAATGATAGATTAAATTAGATATAATCCCAGCGTTATTTTACTTACACAAGCCTCGATATTAGCACCACTTTCATCATTAGGTTCTGCCAACATACTAACTACACTCAATAAAATTTTTTCAACACTTTGAACCGGTGACCATCTCTCTGAACTACTTTCATACATATTTGGATCATCACCTGGAGGATGAAGAATCGATATACAAACCATTCCGTCGGGATAAACTATAAAGAATAATAACACATAATAAATTTCTATCCAAAAATTAATCAAACATCTAGAGATACATACTATTAGGATGAAACATTTCACATGTAAATTTCATTGTTGGCGGGGAGAGGGGATAATCTGTGGGAAATTTGAGCACAGCAGGAAAGATACCACCTTCATATGGTGTTCCTTCTGGCCCTCTACACATAAAAAACTTTTTCTGTCAATAAAGAATTTAAAATTTAATTTAGTTTGATTTAATACTTACGCTATTAATGCTTCCCACTCGAAAAATGAATCTTCGGAGACTGGCCCTATAATAAATTACATTTATAAACCTTTTTTATTGAAATCTTGGAATTGAAATATTTTACCTGCAGTAATACCTTCCGGAGCATTGAGGGTCAATTCTAATGATTTAATAAGTTTAAGTATCCAAGAAAGAATGTGAATTTACATTATGTTTATACACACTTGCCTTTGTATTCGGTTAATAACCGTTTAAGTGCTGTAGAAGCCATATTTCTTGAGCTTTCATACATTTTGGAATTTCGTTATACCCATATGAAGGCAAGAAATCTATGCTTAAAAAATCCAAGTCACGTGGTTTAAAATCAAATAAACAGAATTAACTGTTACACCGCATATGACCTATCCCTTGCTCCTAATCATTTTTGGAAAAACTGATTCAAATTTGCCATAATGCCAAATTCTTTATAATGTTTAAATGATTTGTGCTTATGAGGGTAAGCAAGAAAAAAAAAAAAATAATTTGTACAATTGATATTTTAACAATAATAATAATGCTTTACTTATCCGTTTATCTGAAAAAATACTAATAAAAAAGTCCTTCCTTAAACTTTTTTATTATAACGATAACCTTTTTCCAAATTTTCTCATGATTTCTAAATTTTTTACAAGCGATTTTAACCAATTTTCAAAGGCAAGTTATTATAAAACTTTTATAATTTGCAATATTTGTGTTAACTAGTCATTTATTATATTTAGATGGATGTTATTTCCAATTTTTACCATACTATATATGATGAAAATGATAATGAAAATTAAAGCTCCGAACGGTTCCGGTTTGAACCGGGAACCGATCCGGAACCGGCAAAAAATTCGGTTCGGTTCTCGGTTCGGTTTTGGACTTGGAACCGTCCGGTTCGGTTCGGTTCTATCCGAAATTAAGAAAAAATGCGAAAAAACGAATATACGACTATCCAGTGATCGTACAAGGACGAGCCATAGCTCGTTGGAATCCTCTCATCGAGACGCGTCGAATGGTGGTAAAATCAAGTCTCTAGCATCGATAGATCACGAGATAGCATATGATGAGTGTTTCTTAAAAAATTTGCATTAGAAAATGATCCATTGATGCTAGAGACATGAATTTACCACCATTCGACGCATCTCGACGAGACGAATCTAATGAGCTATAATTCGTCTTTTTACAATCACTGGATGGTCGTGTAT